CTTGCATGTTCCCCCCCCCCCTCCCCTCCCTCCCGAACCCATGAATTCGCCTCTTTATTTCGTTTGTAATCAGAGGCGACTCGGTGAAATTCGCCAAGAAAATAGAGGACCGCCGGAAAAACTTGGAAGCACCAGTAAAAAGTCAAAAAAGAAAGTTGAAAAAGCGTGTGCATGCACCCACGGATGTGCCAGTATAGCGTATTGCATTAGCATATGTATGAAAGAGGTGTGGGCGGGGGTCAGTGGTGAGTGAAACCGTGGCAATGGGTGGGATAGTGAGCGTGGCGTATCATGCTGAGGGGTACAGCTGGCAATTACATGACGAGTGGCAACTGTCGATTCGCCCTCTCGAGACTTGACGTATTATACTGTGTGTGAGACTGAGGGATGTTGTAAACGGAAACACATTGTGTCATCCATGAAATTAACGACCAAATGCATACCCACCCATGCATACTCGCATGATACACTGATTATAAATGATGGGATTCGTACTGCGGATCGTATTAATTACTCTCGATGCGGCTATTGGCAAGCATTAATCAAATTAATCATATACGGAGGGGGGAGGTGGATCGATTATTGATTATATTACAATTTTTTTCGAAGAAATTCAAGCTTCTGCAGGGAGAGAAATATTCACTTGTAATACCACAAGAGCTTCAAAATTATCGGGTATTTTCCGATAGGTTCGTTGCAAACAAACGAAGGAGTCAAGTTTTTCAGGAAAAATCACTCGTGCTTCGCACTCGTGATTTTTTTTTTTTTTATATTCCGGTCCTTTCTGCCCTCTGATTGGCTACACTGCACCGCATTCGCACTCCTATAGAACATAGGAGTAGCATGGGAAACCACAGAAAACCCATACCGGTACAGGCGGTCACTATATTAGCGACCTTCCGCTCGCCGAAGCCTCCGGTTGAAAAACTCGGTTCCACGGGGAATCTAACTCACAACCTTTCGCACACTAGGCTCGCACCTAGCCGCTTCGGCCACCGACGTCGGTTCGTGATTTTTTAACCTGAAAAACTTGACGACTTCGTTTGTATGCAGGGAACCTTGAGGAAAATGCCCGATTAATTTTGAAGCTCGTGTGGTATTCGGGGGATTATTTTTCCAATCCAAATGTCGGGAATATAATTGGACCATGAGACGAAACTCACAATTGAGAAACGAAAATTGTATAATTAACACTCATTTCGAATAAAAATCCTCGGATTAACACAATTGAATTCAATCTGTCAGTTAGACGAGGGGTTAATTCGACTGCATGATGTTTTGTTTTTTATATAGCAACTACCAGAGAAAATTATCAAAAAATTATCAGTTGAAAACCCTGTAGCTTGTACCACGTGATGTCAAATGGGCCAATTATATTGCCCGATATTTGGGTTGGAAAAATAATCAATAAAAATTACCTATCTTTTCCGCAATTCCGGAGCGAAATGTGGTTGTAGGAAATTTTACAGAACCGTCACGGAATTTTTCCGGAGCGTTCCGCAATTTCCATCTGAATCTCTGTGAAAAATTACGATACCGTCATTTTAATTTTCGGAATCGATTCTGTAATCGGTGAGTGAATTGTGAGTTCTGGTTTGTGGAAATTTCGTGAGTTTCATTCGGATCGAATGAATTTTGGTCAAACTCAAATGTGATTTTTATTTGTTTTGTTGTTGTAGGTAAATACACGGAAAAAATATACCTCATTGAGTATGAAATATACTTGAATCAAGACTGAAATATACTTGATTCAAGGATATTTTATATTCAATTCAGTAGCGAAGTGGTAAAACGGTTTAAGTCAACTCATCTCTTAGTTGAGTTTTTGAAGAATATCTCCGAATCTAAAGGAGATAATGAATTTTCCGTAATAACCTTTTTTTAGAGCAAATTGAGTGCTACAAAAAAGGTCTTGACGAAAATTTAGCTATCTCCCTTAGATTGCGAGGTATTCACTCAAAACTGGCCAATAGTCAAAATCGACTTGAATCGCTTTAGCACTTCGCTACTGAATTGGAGGATGGATAGTTCAATTCGAAGGTTATTCTTTTGTATCAGGTCGGTTTATAGCAAGCTCTCTTAAGTGTCCCCATTCCCCATTCGAGTATAAAATATACTTCAATCCTCTTCCCCGGCCCTCATCCTCGAACCCCCAGTTTTTGACCCTTATATTCTCACACTTAGTGTCTGACCCTTATATTACACTTGAGCGCGCTTGGTACAACCCGGGCTGATTTGAAATAATCATCCTCGAATTGAAATGCCATTCCCATTCCCCATTCGAGTATAAAATATACTTGACTCAAGTATACTTTATTCTCGAATCAGGTTTATAAATTTACTAGATTCTTGTATAAAATATAGTCAATTAAAGTTTTTTTTTCCGTGTAGTTTTTTAAGCGTCAACGAATGTTGAATATTTCTGAGGGAAATTTCTCGCACAATTTTGGAGGAATTTCAAAGAATTTCGTCATTGAAAATTCACAATTGTATGGAAATATGAATGAAAACCGTAAATTTCAATTCAATTGTTCCATAAGAAATTGAAAAAAATTCAAGTGAATTCCTGCGAATATATTCTTGTATTATCAATTGCAGTACAAACCCATATCTCAGCAGATAGACTGGAACCGATTCTCTCGACTTCAAAACTTTTCCATCGACATGTCCGACCGGACTGAACCGTCACCCAACAGAAAATGTCCCCATCAATCCGATCACTCGAGAAGAACTCAAAAAAAAACCCAATCATGTGAATTTATGATGCTGAAACTTTTGTTTTCGTTCATCAGCGAAAAAAATTCCTTCTCTTCCATTTGTAATATTTAATCACAAAGAAACGATGGAGAGATCCAGACAATAGACAGTAGAGTAGGAATCCACTTCACCCTCGCCCGCCCCCTCTCCCTTCTCGTCTTAGCAGAGAACATCGGGTAAGAATGAATAGTCTTCTAATGAATCGTTCGAGTGCGAGCATCACCTTATGTATCTCCGTATCTCCCACCCCCATCCCAACCCTCAACGACGAACTCAGCCACTCACACGCCATCAGTGGGGGGAAAGCCTCTGGGTACTAGGTCAATAGGACATTTTCTCCTTTAACTCACTCATAGCACCCGAGGTCGCGTTACCAACTCGATTAATTCCGTGTAATATGTTTAGAAAGAGTCCTAATGACTCTTTTCATCCCGGAACAGGATATTTAAGCGCCAAAAGTTTTTGCGAGATTTATTCTTGCGCCCTATACTGTTGGAAATTTTTTAAAATTTCATGGAAGATGTTATATTAAATCTCATGAGAATGACATTGAATAGGATTTAAGGAAAAAATGGATTTGAAATTTCAAGTCTTAAGTAGAATTCACGGAAACTCATGAATTTGCAGTGCAACATGAATACCCAGAAACAATATGATATAAATTATCAATTTTCCCTGAATTTTCCTGATTTTTCTGAATTTTCACAGAATAATTGAACTGAAAAATGATGTATTTTATTGTTTTCCAGATTATTTAAACAGAAAATCAATGGAATATTTGATTTTTCACTGACAAAATTTCTTGAAATTTTAGTGGAACTTGAACACGATAAAAATTTCCGGAATTTGACACAGAAATTCCAGACGAAAATTTTTAGCAGTGTCTATTTACCATTAAATCAGAATTTTCAGTGGATTGAACATTCAGAAAAATTGTTGCTCAAACTTTCAAATTATTTAATAATTGTCATCATCATGTGGATCTGAAAATTGTAATTCCATACTCCAAAATTCAACGGATTTTTCGATAACAAAATACATAAAAATTCCATGTAAATGAGTGATTGTTTAAAATTTCAAGCTTTTTCATGTAAAATTTTCGGAGTAATTTTTTAATAGTGTAATATCAATAATTTAATACAATAGACAACACGAACTTGATTATCATCAATAATTTGATGCGACAGGCAAAATGAATGTCATGATCATCGATAGTTAAACTTTATGGGCAACATGGACTAGAACATCACCAAAAGCTTAGGCTAACAGACGCTATTGATTAACACTGACTCGGTTTCTGCATCATTCTGATCACTAGGATCATGAAGATTAACATTGTGAATCATCAACAATTCAGTGCAATGCACAACATGAGCACAAAAACAAACTAAGAGATAATTATTGTGTGAGGAATCAATCATTAAACTAATTTTCCATCTGTGCCAAAACACATTAACGTGACGTAGCGTTGATGATAATAATTGACTGAAGACTGTTTTACAGGCCTCAAGACCATCATCAACGCCCTCCTACACAGCTTCAAACAACTCGCCGAAGTTATGACTCTGACCATATTCTGCCTGATGGTCTTTGCTCTATTCGCTCTCCAAGTGTACATGGGAGAACTGAGGAATAAGTGTGTTAAGCAGCAGGAGCCTAATGGGACGCAGGTCGATTGGAGGGAGTAAGTTGAACAAGATTTATTCTACTCATTTTACGGTTATCTAAGTATGATTTAGAATTTCATACAGATGACACTATACATTTAGAAATTATTAAGAGTGCGTCAAAGTTCTTAACGTTTTTTTAGTGATTGATTGTTATGAAACAGAGAATCATCCATCTTACTGAGAATATTTCTCATTTCCGCTGGCCTTCTGTCATCGCGGAGCGAATCATTCGTTTTGCCGTAGATTTCATCAGTTGTCTGGAGTCTACCAAGAGTATTCTTTAGGCACCATGAACCTTAGTTTCCGAACATTTTTTCGAGAAAACGATTTAAAAAACATAACTTTACTTAACACATATATAAATTTAAAAAACATAACTTCCCAGACAGGTAATTGCAAACAATCAAATTAAATGCCAAGATTTTCGGCAAAACTGAAATCTTTCTTGTTACCCAAAAATATGTGCTGACATTCCAACACCCAGTATTCCCCATTCACTTCCGTAATACAAGATATTTTCCATCCACGAAATGAACCAATTTTTCTCGTATCGTCTCCTCTTTACTCGTTATGGAACGCGAAGATACTATAATTTTGGGGGCAATAATCTCCATCTGTTTTGAACAACTTCTGGCTCCCATTTCCCGGAAATGTTGTTATAAAGTACTTTTTCAATGTAACAAGTTTATTCTGTCGTTGTCATAAGCCGTATTGTCGAGTACGAGTGTTTTTACGTTGCGAATTTTTTTGATACCCACCGAAAAGTTCGCTTATTGCGTTCTAGTTTTTGTACTTTCTCTTCGTTTTTGCTGAAGAGGAGTTTTTCCCTCCAGGATCTGTGAATTTATGGCACTTGAGTACATCGATAATGTTTGGCACGCTTTTAGCGATAGTGTCGATGTTTTCGCGAGTCTCAAACTGTTGTATTTGTTTTTTGTTTCTCGTGAATGTTATTAGGTCCATTATCCGAATGAAAGCTTTCGAATACTGGAACACGGGCTTCATGATTCTCCCAAAGAAGAATTATCATTCTTTGCGGGATAATCTCTCTTTTGTCGATCCGATGTAATCCCGAATAAATGAAAAATGAGGGGAGATTCAGGCTAATTGATGCTGTTTATTCGGCTAAAGAGATAAATCTTTTTCGCTCATTAAAATTCTGGTATTGGTAACATAGAGATCTTTTGACCTATAAAATGACATATTTATTTCAATGAAAATGTTTCAATTATAATTATATTTATCTGAATCATCTATTGAAGGCAAATAACTGATTTGGTTGATACAAATAAAATTTCGTTGATTCAAACGAAAATGGAAAATCTTGAAAATATTATTAACAATAAATTAATTGAACCAATACAGCAAACTAAACTCGATCATGTTATGAATTTTGATATCTTCATTCCATCGGAATTCCGTATTACAATGCATCGTAAATAATTCATAAACATGACGGGGTTTTTTGGCCAGTTTACTCAGGTCCAAATGGCACAGGACGTGTGAGAATTGCTTGGGTCACTGCGGCTGATATTCATGAGAATCTCCAGTAAATTTTTCTATCTTACTTTTATCCAACGGTCACCCAGTCGTTTCCGGGTTTCAGCCAACGAGCCATTATCTACGCCAGCCTCTCTGCTTTTCGAATATTAAAACTCTCCCTTAAAGAGGACCTATTGCACTTCTTTGCCATTTTTATCTCGCTCCCACCTCTCTCTTTGCTATTTTTTTCCTCTTTTATTTCTGGAAACCACCGGCGTCCGCGATAATTAGAATCTACAGTGGAAAGAGAGAGAATTAAAAAAAAATGTTTCTCCTTCGTTTAGTTGTGGAATTGGGATTTCTCTGCTGTACAACATTTTTTTATCAACTCTGCTCTTGGGGTCTGTCGGGAGAGGAGATAATATTTTATTCGGGGATGATGTAATTATTCTTTAATTATTCATGGCAACAATATTTATATTTTTTTGCTTTGAGTATAATTTATTTTAAAAAATTGAACTTAATGTCCAAATTTAATTCTTCAATAAGTTTTATTCATTAATTCTTAAGAGAAAATATCAAAACCTACCTGCGTCAACTCACAAGAATATCCCCATTTATCAATTATTTCCCTGCTGTACGTTTTTTGATCAACTTTGGTCTAGGTTTCTGTCGGGAGAAATGATAATTCTTAATCCGAAGATAATTTAATTATTGTTTAATTATTCATAAGAATGGCAGTTTCATTTTCGTCTTTTGATAATACTTCATTGTTTAAAAATCAACCTTAATGTCTAAATTGAATTCTTCAATAAGTCTTATTCATTAATTCTTGAGAGAAAATATCAAAACCTAATTGCGTCAGCGCAAAAGCATATCCCCATTTATCACCTCCCTGCTGTACGTTTTTTTTTTATCAACTTTGGTCTAGGATTCTGTCGGGAGAAACGATAATTCTTGATCCAAACATAATTTAATTATTGCTTAATTATTCACAAGAACGACATTTTCATTCTTGTCCTTTGATGATACTTCATTTTTTAAAAATTGACCTTAATGCCTAAATTGAATTCTTCAATAAGTTTTATTCATTAATTCTTGAGAGAAAATATCAAAATCTAGTTGCTTCAGCCCAATAGCATATCCCCATTTGTCACCTATTTCCCTGCTGTACGTGTTTTTTTAACAACTTTGGTCTAGGGTTCTGTCGGAAGAAACGATAATTTTTAATCCGAAGATGATTTAATTATTGTTTAATTATTCATAAGAGCGACATTTTCATTCTTGTCCTTTGATGATTCTTCTTTTTTTTTAAATTGACCTTAATGCCTAAATTGAATTCTTCAATAAGATTTATTCATTAATTCTTGAGAGAAAATATCAAAACCTAGTTGCGTCAACCCACAAGAGTATCTCCATTTATCAGCTATTTTCCTGTTGTACAACGTTTGTTTTCATCACCTTTGGTCTAGAGTTCTGTCGGGAGAAACGATAATTCTTAATCCGACGATGATTTAATTATTGTTTAATTATTCACAAGAATGACATTTTCATTCTTGTCCTTTGATGATTCTTCTTTTTTTAAAAATTGACCTTAATGCCTAAATTGAATTCTTCAATAAGATTTATTCATTAATTCTTGAGAGAAAATATCAAAACCTAGTTGCGTCAACCCACAAGAGTATCTCCATTTATCAGCTATTTTCCTGTTGTACAACGTTTGTTTTCATCACCTTTGGTCTAGAGTTCTGTCGGGAGAAACGATAATTCTTAATCCGACGATGATTTAATTATTGTTTAATTATTCACAAGAATGACATTTTCATTCTTGTCCTTTGATGATTCTTCTTTTTTTTAAAATTGACCTTAATGCCTAAATTGAATTCTTCAATAAGATTTATTCATTAATTCTTGAGAGAAAATATCAAAACCTAGTTGCGTCAACCCACAAGAGTATCTCCATTTATCAGCTATTTTCCTGTTGTACAACGTTTGTTTTCATCACCTTTGGTCTAGAGTTCTGTCGGGAGAAACGATAATTCTTAATCCGACGATGATTTAATTATTGTTTAATTATTCACAAGAATGACATTTTCATTCTTGTCCTTTGATGATTCTTCTTTTTTTTAAAATTGACCTTAATGCCTAAATTGAATTCTTCAATAAGATTTATTCATTAATTCGTGAGTGAGAATATCAAAACCTGTTTACGTCAACCCAAAAAAATCACCACTGATATCGCTCTCCCTTTCGTCCTGCATTACAGCTGTCACGACAAAATAACTGAACAAAAAGCGGGTGAAAAAACGTCTCCATGTATCAACTGCCGAGAGGATCGACAGAGTCGATATTGGAAACAATCGAGTGATGGGCTTTTCCCGATACGAATTTCACCCCATCAGTACTCGCGACCCACTTGTATTGCTGGCTATCTATAGCTGACAACGAAGAGTCAATTCATCCGATAAACGGTCACCGAGATACTCATTTTATAACTCTGTTAAAGTTTAATGGCATTTATAGAAACTAAAATAGTTCGGGTTAACTGAGCTTTTCATTTTCCTCGGTTGGATATCCTGAAATGAGATATGGCGTTTGTTAGAGCTAGAGCGTAGCTTTATATCAAGTTCAATATTGGCATTTTGTTTTATTGGACCATCAGAAGTCTCATGAAGCATAAAACATAGATAAGGGGGAAGGGATATCATGGAGATGCTTGACACTTGTAAGATCGATTTGTGTTTTCTTTCAACAGGTGGACTTGGAACTCGTCCAATTGGGCCTTCGACGAAGACGAACATCCGATCATATGTGGAAATGTCACTGGTGCCAGGTTTGTAGTTTACCACAATTGATATTGTAACAGGAATGATTGAGTAACACCATCACCCCACACAGAAAAACCGAACCGTAAATTACGGTTTGCTAAGCGTAATTTACACTGAGAGAAAAATTTTCCAATATGTGGACCATATTTACTTGGAAAAGTCAATTATTCTCAATGACTTGAATCTCAGAATGTTTGCGCTCCACGGAACTGGAAAATTCTGGATATAAATAAATTTGTTACGATTCCGAATAAATGACTTTTATGGAAGAGAAATACTCTCATTATTGCGACAAATAAAAAGAACTTCAATTCTAGAGAAGTTCGATTTCTCCCAATCAAATGTGTCTCAAGAAGAGATAACTGGTATTCACTCCGAAATCATGTTTATTTGAAAATTAACAACCAAATGATAGTTGATTCAAATGGAATTCTCTCGATAAAGTTATTTTTTTCAGCCAGCGTACAAAAGTAGAAAAGTATTTCACAGGAGAAAGAATAGCCAAAGTACTTGGATGTCCTTAAACGTAATTTACGTTTAGGTTTTTCTGTGTGACGAAATGAAATCAGTGATTTGAACATGACGCAACATGATTTCATGACTGCAGTTGAGTTCGAATGGTTTGATCAGTTTGTAAGCAATGATTTGAGAGAATGAACTAATTGAAATTACAAGAAATAAAGTTGAATAGATAAGAAGGGTGTAGTGGGGCAAAACGAGAACTAGCCTCTCGAGACATTCCTCAATTGAAACAATGTTTTCGTCCCCCCTCGAAAGTTCCAGAATAACAGAGCAAATTGAAAATTCGCCTTGACAATTGCACGACCTACCGAAAGAAAACTTTCTATGAACCGAGGAATCGTGGGAACCTCGGAAATTAAACAGCAGCATTGAATCTCAGTATCGGAGTTGGTACGTTCTGTTGACTCTTTTTTTATTCCCTCTTATTTTTTTCCTCTATTTTCTTTTTTGTCGGCACACGACCAACTTTGAAGTACTACGGTTCATCGGACCGCAGCTGTTAGCTAAAAGAATGCCTTCCTTCCAACAGCCAGAGGAGTATAACGCTCTAGCGGACCGTGATTGATTCTCATATTTATTGCTAAAGTTTTTCACCGACATGAATAATGGCGGTGGATGGAAACTCAACCATTTAAGAAAGTGAGGGAGCAGAGATTAATACGCGTGTATTTTCAACGCAACATGTTATTAATTTTCAATTATTTTTCAATTACTCCCGAGAAAATGAAAAATACAAAGAAAAATTGTGATCATGAATTTATCGAGTATTCCATATGGATTTTCATGTGTTTTTGAATGGATAATATCAAATCGATATATATTTTGAATGAAAATGTAGCAAGTAACTTCAAAGGATTAAGAGAAAGGAAAAGAAAAGAGGAAAAGTTGTTTTTTTTCACATCTGCGGGGTAGATAATTCTCTAAAATCAAGCAAAAAATCAGAGATCATGCAGATTTTTTGGATGAATGAATCTCCATTCATAAAAATTTTCAATCCCCTGAATTAATTAATTATTCAACCTCATGAATTTGTTTAAACAAACAAATAATTGAGCAATATTTTTAAAAAATTAGCAAAATATATTTTCCCAACGTATGCCATAATTTACGATTGTCTAATCCCCAGGGGCAAATTTTCACTTGACTAGATAATTACAATGATTTCAAACCTAATCTTCAAATCGCGTCTCACCACTGGAAAATTACCCATTCGTCTGTGTCCTCCATCGCTAAAATGAGAAAATAATAGGGAAATGACCTCTCGACCCTTATCCATGACCTGACCTATAATTATCCACCCCCCAAGAAATTCTGTTCCCTTTCATAGCCAACGGAGTGTGAGAACAGCCTTCCTCGTTATTCGCTACCGCATACTTGGGAATCAAGTACATTTTGTCATTAACTTTTTTTATCCCATCCCTGGAATATCCAACTCCAAAGTTAGATTATTGATCGATCGAAATCGAAATATTGGGAATATTTTAATAATCATAATCTTGAAGGTGGAGTGAGTTTGATACGGATAGCCAAATTTTAAACAGAAAAAAACCCGGTTTTTACTTTCATTTGGATGGAATTTTGTTCCTTCTATCTTCGGTTTTCTATCTGTGGACCGAGTATTTTTTATGACAAACAACTCACAGCGGATATTTACATGAGCACAACGCATGTGAGCTTCTACCAAAGTGTTATAGTTTACGTTTGTTAATTGATTCGTACATTAATTTGTTCATAATATTTTCTGTTTGATAAACAATAAACAAAATGAGTTGAAAATGTTATTAATTGTTGTTTGGATAAGGAAATACGTGGAAAGGTTCGATGGAATCGCGAATGAAAAAGTTCACAACTATTTTATCGCGGCCCGCATTTCATTTTGCCCCGATCTTTCCTATCAAATGAAGTTCCATCAAGTTCGAAAAAAAAATGTATTTATTTCAACAAAAAAAATTCTCTCAACATCAGAAAAATCTCCATTTATTATTATAGAAGAATTTCTTTGCATCAAATAAAGATTCATTAATCGGAAAAAAATAGTTTATTTAATGTAAACAGAACCTCGAATGAAGAAAAATGTTCAATTTAAATAAAAACGTCATTCCGTGCTATTTAAATAAACTCATTTATTTCATTCAAATAAACTTTCCTTGATTCAAATAAATCATTTCTCTCATGCTCTGATAAATTATGTTCCAGACACTGCAATGAGAGCTACACGTGCCTTTGCGTAGGTCCCAATCCAAATCACGGCTACACGAACTTCGACAATTTTCTGTGGTCAATGCTCACCACTTTTCAGCTGATTACCCTGGACTACTGGGAGGATGTCTATAACAAGGTCAGTAACATTGACACGAAGTGTGACAAGCGAATCTCCCTCCTTACTGAAGGCTAATGTCTGAAAACAGACACTTTTCCAGATATTCATCAGTCACTAAGAAGTGTCTGGGTCAGGCAAGAAATATAATTTCCAATGATGATTGCTACAGTTCCTTCATCAATTAGCCAATCTATTAATTTATCCAGATAGTACTCTCTTTAGCAAAAATAAAAAATAGACTTTTGTCACCATTTTTTATGGTGATATGACTAAAGAACACAAGCATAATTCAGTAGCGAAGTGGTCAAACGGTTAAGTCAATTTAGTCTTCAGTTGAGTTTTCCAGAAATATTTCCGAATTTAGTGGACATAGCGAAATTTTCATTATAACCTTTTTTGTAGAGCGAATTGAGTGCTACTAAAAAGGTTATGAGAAAAACTTTGCTATCTCCCTTAGATTTCGAGATATTCATTGAAAACTAGCCAATATTCAAAATTGACTTGAACCGTGTGACCACTTCGCTACTGAATTCGTCACAAGGAGAATTCAACACAGTCCCACCAGTTCCCAATGGGTCGGGACTAGGTTGCCAGTTTGTGAATTTAACCTCTTTGGTACACCACATATAGTGATATGGATAACCAGGTAGATGACCGGGACCTCCCATTTTCACCACCTTCCTTCTAAAGGCAATTAATTGTTAAAAAATTCAATTAAATATAGTTTCTTCTATAAATTCATGAGCATGGTATGCCAATTAAATTTGACCCCCTACCAGCTCTTGGCGTTAGCCAGGATCTACGACGAGGACGTGGCTAGCATAGGATACCAAAAAAGACCCCAATATATTTTTCTGTGTTGACTTTGACTTTTGTTATTATTGGACTGTGTTATTTAGTCAGGCCACCAGTTATTATTGCATTGAGCAATCATCAGTGAAGCCGTTACCAAAAAGCGAATTACAACTGCCGTCATCTCAATAACGAGCTCATACATATACATGTCTCCCCAGCCCGCAGATTTACCAACGAATAAAATAGATATTGATCGCTCAATGGTGAATGCGGGTGTAAACTGATATCGCTTAATTGACAAAACAGGTGTTGTCAGCGTGTGGGCCTATCAGCGTTACGTTCTTCACGGTGGTCGTGTTCTTTGGATCGTTCTATCTCATCAATCTGATGCTCGCTGTTGTGGCATTGAGCTACGAGGAAGAGGCTGAGATTACAAACGAGGTAAAATAATTGAATTGCCGAGTCATTATTGCTGGGAAACCAAGGGGATCAGAGGGTTTCCCCTAGTATCTTAATTGGAGGATAATTGATTATAACGTTTTTGAGGAGATTTATTCGGGTGAGATGGTGGTGGTGGGAATGGCAGTTACGGAGGGACTACTCACTCCCTGATTGAGTGACACCGTGATTTCGAAATTAAGTCTACTTTACGTGATTTCAGGGCCGATTTCGGTGATTTCGGGAGAAAATTAAATCCATGATTTAAACTCGAAGGGGTCGACTCTAAATTCGGACTGAAAAGGCTCTTGACTCTGTTCTGAGTCCAATAGTGTCTCCAACTCTAGACTGATATTAAAGGGGCCCCTAACTCTAGAGTGCAATTGTACCAAGTGACGTGATACTGTCTAAATTTTGCTTCTTTTCTATTCTTCAATAATCCCGTTTTCGAAAAAAAATCTGGAATCAAACTCCGAAATTAGGCAACAGTTCAGTCATTCAATCCGCGCTCACACAACACTTTGCTCACAACAAATCTCCGCAAAAATCTTTGACAACTATTTTTTTCGACTCACACAGGAACGAAAAAAAGATCTAACTGATCACCGCGAAGACTCGACGTTTAGTTTTGACCCCACGAAAATCAACATCAAGACGTTAACGAAGGAGAAGCAGAAAAAAATTGACGCAAGAAAGGGGGTTCTGCTCAGCAGTTACACGAGAAAGAAAACAAGAAGAAGAAAACGCGGAAGAAGCACGGCTGGACAGGAGAAGAATGGTGGTGCCAGGAGCAGGTCACAAACAAATAAACGGGATCAGTAGGATCATCCTCATATTTTGTTTATTTGTCATTATTATTATTCGCACATACCTTTTTATTCTGGCACTCGATGTTAGAGGTAGACCCCGTAAATTAATTTCACATGCGTCCAGAGAGAAGCCGGATTAGATATCAATGCTCACCAATCAAATAGATTTGGAAGGTCCGTAGTGTGGTCAGTTGTACAATATAATTACACTCAAAATATACAATCTCGTCGCCGTATAGCCAAAGGAGCATATATTTTCTTTAATCGTAAAATTGAATTGACCGACTTTTTTCAACGATTTTCACCAATTAATTTTGATAATGACAAATGGGCGTATCTCCAGGACATACGCCCCGTTCCTTTCAGTCTCTTGATTGATATCCTAGTTCACTTGGAGCATAAACAATGACGAAGGGGCGTGACTCTCAAGTGTAGGTTCTTGGTTTTTCTGCTAGCTGTAATTTATTCCACGATTACACTAAGGATAACGAATATTCCCTCATTTTCTCGAGCATTTCTATAATTAATCAAAAGTAGACAGAGAGTACGGCCAAATGAACCAGGAAGACAAAATGGCCTGCTTTTCCAAGACTAATGACTGATAATGGCAAAGAGACGTAAGTGTAGAGTTACGCCCGTTTGTCGTTGAAAAATGGTAATTACGCCCCTTTGGCTGTACGGCGACGGTTTAGTCGCTATTCACTGTTCTTGTTCGTTATTGCAAGTCGCCGCTTGAAAATCATTCCTCTAAAAATTTCCCGTAAAAAAATGAAAATTCATTATCTTACACATTTGGAATACAATCATCTCCAATTGGCGATTTTTCATCTCAAGCAAGTAATGTTTAACAGTTTTTCACATCATGAAGATTTCAAAATAAAACTTCCGCGCTAATCCATCTATTCACAGCGAACAATGTGAAAAATTGAAGCTAATAATCTTTCTGGGCGCATAAAAGTAATCGTTAAAGACCGCGAATTTACTGCTGCCGATTGAATTGAATCTTCAATCAATAGGTCAGTGACACCGAGTCCAAGTCCAAGCCCGAGGCATTCAAATGCTCGGCCCTCAAATCTTCCACTCCAAGTGGCCCCAAAACCACCTGATCCAATCCATCGACTTGCTCCTCATCGAAACATGCTACACTCGAGACAAGCAAGCAACAACAGCAATCAACAGTCATCATTGGATGATTCCGGGGTTGTTGATGATCATGATGGGGATGATGTTACATCCGCCGAGGAACATGAGAGGCGAGAGCACAGAGTAGAGAGAACAGAGCGCCTACAGACACAACAAGTAACTGGAATTGCTGAACGCACTCTACCACCACTAGCGCCTGTTACTGTGTCTGTTAGAAGTAGGAGTAGGGAGATCAGGGTACTAAAATGCAATGGAGTTAAAACAAAAAAGCAGTTGTATACTTTACCACCCGAGTATCTTTCACACATTGTTGTTCTTGGTAAGTTCAATGTTTATTGAGGATGTTTTGACACTTGTTGGCAAGTTAGCTGGGAGAATAAGTGGAAATATTTGGAGTGCTCTGCGAAAATGTTAGTTCATTTGTTATTCCATTTTCATTGCAACTGAACAATCGACTTTTTTGATACTTCTAATTACGAAAATCTTGAAAAGATTACGTCGTTTACGTCAAATCTCAAATTTGATAACTAACAATGTTAGAGTGGATCAATATCACTCCGAGATTCTCTTTAATTTTATTCTAAATCATTGCAAATCATTCTCCATAATACACATCTCATTCAAGATGATCTTCCCGATCGAAACTGTGACAAATGTATCCAATGTTGTGTGGACTACGAGGGCTGGCTTCGCTTCCAAAACTGTCTCTACAAGGTGAGCCTCAAAGATCCAGTAAAACTGATTGAAAACCTTTTTTGTAGAGAAATTTCCTTGGGTACAAGAAAGGTCTCGAGATGTCTTGTTCCTCTATTCAATCACATTTGCAAAATAATCTGTAGAGAATTGTAAAACCACTTAAACCCAATATCTCCACCACCAGGTGGTTCGAGATCCTCTCTTCGAGCTGACGATCACCCTCTGCATTGTCCTGAACACCGGCTTCCTCGCCCTGGAGCACCACGGAATGTCCGAATCTGTCCGCCAAGCCTTGAACATCGGTAACAAAGTCTTCACCAGCATCTTCACTTTCGAGTGCTTCCTGAAGCTCCTCGCCCTCAGCAAGGATTTCTTCAAAAACGGCTGGAACAACTTCGATCTGATTATCGTCTCTGCCTCCCTGATCGATCTGGCCTTCGAGCTCGTCGACGGTCTCTCAGTCCTCCGAGGATTGCGTCTCCTACGTGTCCTCAAGCTCGCCCAATCTTGGACGACAATGAAAGTCCTCCTCAGCATCATCATCTCCAGTATCGAAGCGTTAGGAAATCTGACCCTCGTTCTCGTAATTGTCATCTACATATTTGCCGTGATTGGCATGCAACTCTTCAGTAAAGACTACACAGCTGACAAATTTTTCCCCGATCCAGTCCCTCGCTGGAACTTCAATGACTTCTTCCACTCATTCATGATGATATTCCGAATTCTTTGCGGTGAGTATCATCATACAACAAATGAAACAGGCCACCCAAATTTCGGTAATCGGAGCCTAGTAGAAGGAAGTCAGAAACTTGAAGAAACAGAAATATGACAAGATGTAATCGGTCAGTAATGGATGTCTGATAGAGGAAACATAGGAGACAGATCAGAGTTGCCAACCCGTGGCGCTCGCCTCATGGTCCGGGGTAGGAAAAATTCTATTTAAGGAGAAATACCGGGAAATGCAAAAGTTTTGTACCATAAACTTTTTTGCATCACAAACTTTTGTAGCATAAACTTTTAAACGTAAATAGCAATATAATCTCATTTAGTCATCTCAAAAATAGCAGCATCTCCGTTAGCTTCTCTCTCCTGGTCATTTGTTGTACTCCCGATTTTCTATGGCTTTTCATACAGCGAGTCTTTAGTCATTCTTGACAACATTTCTCTGTCGCCTCCTGCCTCCAATATCCAGTGGTAAAGAGAGAGGAGAGAGATATGAGAGAGGACCGAAAACCCCGGGCGGTAAAAAGGCCCTAAAAACCCCTCGAAGCCCCGGACCAAATTTAATTCCCATAAAGCAACTCAGCTAAATCCTTTCCGCTCCTGCTGGCTCCTACCGAATGGCTCTGGCTGTTTGGGACAAAGGTTTATGTATAGATACCATGATAATAGCATGGTTGGCAACTCTGAGATGAACACCTTATGTTCTCTCCTACCTAGTCTTCATATGGCTTCCGTATTCCCTCAGTTCCAAAAATAAAGCAATTGATCTTTGTTGAATAAGTCTTTAAACTCTAGGTGAGTGGATCGAGCCCCTCTGGGACTGCATGAGAGCCGAAAAGTATGAAGGGCCTGAAACGTGCTTCGCAATATTCCTACCAGCCCTAGTAATGGGTAACTTTATGGTGCTCAATCTCTTCTTGGCCTTGTTGCTCAACAGCTTCAACTCAGAAGAGCTCAAGCAGAAGAAGCAAGAAGTTGGGGAAGACTCAAAACTAGCCAAATCATTCGATCGAATAAGATCAATAGTTCGTAAGAAGAGATACAGAAAGGAGAATTCGGAGAATAAGAAAAATATGAGACTTGAGCAGATTGTGAGGGAGGTGATGGACAAGTCTGATAAGGAGAAGTACGCGATACAGGAGACTGTGTTGACTCTACCAAAAGAGAATATCTATAATCGATCGTACCAGGAGAGTCTGAATCAACCAGTGTTCACGTATGAACCGATTTACCGACAAGCTACGGTTACGACTTATAGCCAGAGCAGTCAGGAGACTGTGAGGAGATTGGATGACACCAAGGCAGATAGTTGTGAGACTAATGCTGATGAGAATATAGAGATGGAGGTGCTCAAGGAGCAGACGATCATGCTGCCTGAGGCGACGGAGAAGCAGCCAGTTCTTCAGGAGATGACGACACCTCAGAAGAAGGACAACAATCGGTTAGATAAGAGACCCTGGCACGCGTTGGTCAGCTACGTCGATGAGTTGACAGTTGGTGGTAGAAGAGACAGTAAGGGAAGGTATATCGATGGTTTGGGATCTTTTCCTGGTTTCGGGAGAAATAAACGTGATAAAGTACCTCAGGACTGCTTTCCACAGCACTGCTATCAAAAGTAAGTGTTTTTCACTGTTTTATGAAGATACGTATTTTTACCTCGTTTTCTGGGGGAGATTCAAATGGGGGAGGAGGAAGTTTTAATGCGAAAAATATAGCGGTGGGAAAGAGTCAAATGCTAGCTTGGGGCTTTAATTTTACGCGTTGTTAGATTTTCTGTATCTGAAAGAAAATTACTATTTAAATTCGCGATGAGGTATTTGGGTCAGTGAAGAATTGTAGAGGGATTTTGATTTTGAGTTCGAGGAGATTGATTTTTGGAGGATTGAAGGCGATCCAAGTCACTCGCGAATGGAGAATTTTTTATTCGAAATATTGTTCTTGCACTGATTGTGAGTGAAAAAATTTGCTCTGCCGAAAAATATGTTCCACGTGAGAATATTTGGTGGAGTGGAACAAATTTAGATTTATGCCATAGAAAGAATATATTGACGAGGACAGAACATTTTTTTGCCAAAAAAATTGTCCCTTCGAAATTATTTAGTTATGCCAATAACAGTTCCAAATCGGAACCTCATATAATTCTCTGGAGAACGACTGTATTTACCCAAAGGACATATAAATGTCTCACGAGAACAGTTACTGCAACGAAAATTATCATGTTTCGGTAGAAATTTACTTTTTTGTCCGCAAGTAAATTGATTCAATACGACAAAAGATCCTTCAGGGGAACATATAATTGTTCGACAGAACCAATTTTTTCTCTCAGTGTGTAATAGCGTTGCAAAAAAAGCTTACCGGATTTGAGTCTTTACGGAAGGCCTCTCTGCAAGGAGTCCCTTTTTTTTAGACAATCTCCGTTCCAGTCTTTTTTCCTCGGATTTTCCCAGCGAATGCTTGCCTTACGGTTACCCATGCACTTAGTGACCGCGTTCCATGCTACTTAGCTTTTTCAGCGCAAGCCCGTCTGCCTTGGCAATGGGCTAGCCCTGATGGACGTAATAGTGCATTATTCATGAAGGGAGCAAAACAGGTCATTCGAGACAAGTGGGTTATATTCGCGCCCACATACATACCTCGCACAGCTAATGTAACACACAATGTTTGGATCTCCTTATTGGAAATGGGATATTTCGAATAACCGGACCGGTACATAAGTGAAAAAGAAATTTTCTTATTCTCACTCTTTACTTAATACGTGATTTCTAAATGTGTATAAAATTGTGTGTCGATCGATTCAATCCATCCTGGTACCTCCATGGAAAAATATATTTAAAAAAATATATAATATAGGCCAATTTAATATATTGTTCGAATATAAAATATATATGAAACATATATAAATTTATATCTTATATTGTAGCATCTCGCTACATACCACGTGGACACTGATTGAGGACGAGCACAGACATTCGCTATCTCTCTCGCACCTTCAGTGTCATGCGTATCTTTTCCTATTCACCATTTAATGCGAATATAATTCACTACAATTCGCATCAGACACTCGATCGGGTCACTTTATACAGAACAACATCAGCACCTTGTTTACAAATTTCAGGCAAATATAGAATAGAAATTCGGCAATTTTTTTAAAGGCCTTTTGAGTTCCCTTTTCGGGTCTCATTTCAGCACTCTATCCAACCCTATCCATGCGGCTGTGGATTCTACACTGTACCGCATTCGCCCTCCTATGGAACATAGGAGTAGCATGGGAAACCACAGGAAATCTATGCCGGTACAGGCGGTTACTATATTAGCGACCTCCCGCTCGTCGGAGCCTTCCGTCGAAAAATTCGGTTCGATGGGGAATCGAACTCACAACCTTTCGCGCACTAGACTTGCATCTAGCCCACTCGGCCACTGACGTCGGTTAAATTGGAAATTCAATAGTACAAAAATTACTAAATTCCGGTAATAGACTTCCAAATGGTAAACATTAAAATTTTCAAATACTTCAGCCAATTACATTGCGATTGACTACCGCCATGATTGGAAACGATGACATAGTTGTGGATGGGACTTGATGGGTTTGTTAATATCGCTCATGTTGATAAAACTTTCAGTTCATGGCTGCAATAAACATTACTCAAACTATCGCACATAATGGTGTTCCAATTATCTCCCATAATGCCGCTAAAATCGTCGCAGTAAATATCGCCATCATTGTCGTACCATCACCATTTTTAATCATGGCGGCATGGCGGGAGACTGCCACGACGTGATTGGGTAAATCATTGAAAAATTCAAACGCTCACAATTCAAAAATTTACTATCGTAATTCCATCATTTTTATCCCTTTGAATTACTGTTTCCCATTCTATATTTCCTCAGAATTTGTAAACAAGATGCTGACATCACCATGTATACTTTTCACTCTTGTATCATATTAGCGTAGCAATAAATTGCAATTATTTAATTTAGTTCAATTACACTAAACAAAATAAAAGAAAACTTGGATCTCCTTCATTCCAACTCTGACGGATCGATCGGTTACTATCGAGTTTGGATATTGACCGATTACTGACGGAGCGACTATCGACCATCTGACAATCGACCAACTGTCCAATAACCAACCAGCAATCAGTTGATGGCCGATCGATCATTAGTCGATCGATGATTGATCAATCATTGATCAATCAATAGATCATTGCCCGGATAAACGAGTCAATCCAGCACATGACGTAATATTACTGATAACAATTGATTACTAATTCCTGAAATTGCAAAAGAAAGAAATGGATTTTATTCAACAGTGTTGGAGGATTAGGTAATAAATTTTTTATGAATGAAAAACTAATTACCTTCATTAATAGATGCAGCTGTATAAATCAATGTATCGCAACTGATCTGGGTAGAAAATGGATAAAAGTACGAACAGCTGTACTCTCTGTCGTCGATACACCAGCATTTGAATGGATGATTCTCGTATTTATATTTTCATCATCCGTAACACTTTGTTTTGAGGATATTTATCTCGATGACAATCCATTTCTCAAGAATATATTGTACTGGACGAATCTCGCATTCTGCGCATTATTCAGCGTTGAGATGCTGCTCAAGTGGCTTGCCCTTGGATTTTGTAAATACTTCACCAGTTTCTGGACAATTCTGGATTTTATAATTGTTTTCGTAAGTTATTATCTCGTATTGCTAAAGTTTTACTGATTTCATTATCACATGACACTAATTATTACTCTGAATACTTTTATTTTAATAATGTTTCACTCGATTTTCTATTTATCACAAACAAGGACACTGCTATTTGATTATTCAACTGTTCTTCGTTGAAATTTTAATTTCATTGTTATCAATGTACGATCAATGGTCGCATGTTATTCGAAGTCATTTATTAATTAGTCATGCAGCTTTATAATTAAATGTAAGTGTCTAGCTGAGAGATCATAGAGATGTGTCGTAAGTGTTCATTATGGAAAGGAATCACACGATTTTATTCATTATTTCGGTTGCGAAGGGGTGAAATGGTTCATGTGGATGTGTTTACTTATGCGTAATTAAGAATTCCGAGACATTTTTCTAGCTGAGAAAAATGAAACTACATTTTTTCCTCCCGAATGGAAGATTTGTAATCGCTCAAATTTAAGTCATCAATTTTTTTTTATTTGACATGTTTTTTTTTCTCTTCATTTTTTTTCGACATTTTCTTCGAAGGGATCCATCGAATTTCGTCATTTTTTTCATGAATATAGACTTTAATACGTTCTATTCATTGACACCAATTAGCATTCCATTTTTCATACAGATTCGAAAAAATTGATATTTTTCCAAAAATCAATATAATTCGAAAAATTAATAACAATATAGAAAATCGTTTTTTCATGATTAGGACTTGAAAAATATATTTCAATGTCTCTTTAATCAAGTTGAAAAATGGTGAGAACAGCATCATTGCACCTAAACAAAATCTCTATCTCTATTAAACGCAGGTACCAGTCTATTATATTGAATACTTATTCAGGTTGATTAATGGTCCCGACTAAATTCTGACAGAACCTGAGTTGAACTCTAGCTAAACTCTGATTAAACTTTGATTGAACCTTGATTAAACCCGGACTGAAAACGAATTCGAGTCTTGATAGGGTCTGAACATAGAATTATTTGACAGAACGAAATAATAAGCAAAATTTTAATAACATTTCAATTGATTACAGTACTATGACATGAAAAAATAGAATAAGAAAATAGCGAAATAAGAATAAAAAAAAAACTGTTGGGAAACAAATTGCTAATTTAGTAACAACAGTTTTTATAGTCATTTATAAAAAAAATGCAATTGTCCACTTAACACTGATTATTAAAAATCAGTGCGACGGTTCATTCCTTATTTAATTTGACTGAAAAAAATTGAGACATCGAGAATGACACAATTATTGTTCACGCGTAATGTGCAAAATTTCTTTTCAATTTTGTATGAAATTGTTGGTGTATTTTTCCACAATAATTTACGTGAGATTTTCCTGTTGATGTGATGAAAAATTTTTATTCTCTTTTCAACATGAACCATTTCACCGCTTCACTCTCAATTATGTAACACAAATCTTGGTGAATGTTTCGTTCCATGCGTGTTTCTCCATATTTGTGTGGCTTCGTGGGACCCAGGTACGTCGATATTATACGAATCCTGTCCCGCATCGTCCCATTTTCCATGATTAAAGTTGAAATGTTTCGATGCTCTTTTCAGTTCAATTCGTTGAACATCAATAGACTCATTGTTCTTCCATTCGCTATCTATTTGTTGATGTTTACATTTGTAAATTTCGAATTTTTCGTACAATTTTATGATTTATTCATTCGTTGATTAATCAACTCTGTTTTAATGTCGTGAAGTGCACATGAGTCCTCAATTTTCATGAAGATTATCGTGAAATTATCTAGGGAGTGAACAATTTGAGATGATTTTTCCAAAATTATCTTGATATTTTTCTAAATCATAGATATTTACATAATAATTTGAGAATTAATTTTAAAAATTATCTCATTTTGTCACTTCTCTCCAGAATCGATTGATCCTATGAACCATGAAGAAATTTTATAGAAAACCTAGACTCAGACAAAAAATTCCAATATCTGAAACATATTTACTTGAGACGAGTAATTTTTCTTCAATCGCATAACTCTCCCACAAGGAGAGAAATGTTCAGTAAAAATTACGGAACTCACAATTCACTCACCGATTACGGAATCGACTCAGAAAATTTGAGTGACGGTATCGTAATTTTTCACAAGAGATTCAGAGAAAAATTAAGGAACGCTGCGGAAAAATTCCGTGACAGTTCCGTAAAATTTCCTACAACCACATTTCGCTCCGGAATTACAGAAAAGATACGTCATTTTTACTGAATATTTCTCGCCGTGTAGGCATCTCAACTCACGTGACTCGAGAAAGGTCTCATGCTTTAAAATATTTTTGTACTCAAGTATGACTTTGTCGCAAATGAACTCCCTCAAATCGCGTGGAAGAATCGTCAATCTTCAAGTATTTATTGTTTTCATGATTTTCTTATGCACTTCCAATGTTTCAATATGTAATATATTCATGATGCAACGCGGAACGATAGTAATAAATGAAAATTTATTCAAGTTCCGTCAAGCGCTACCAATCTGAAACTGAAATTTTTTTACTTCTCTCAAGTAAATATGGTCTTCATGTTAGTAAATTTTTTTCTCAGTGCAGCGCATTTGCTAGACAATTCTATTGGATTTCTATTGAACTTTCTATTAGTTTTTGGCCGGTTCTATTGAAATGTTCAACAGAATTCGATTTTTCAGTACAACTTATATTGTTGCGATATATTCTATAGAACCACCTCGACTCAAATTTTCCCAGTTTTTAATACGTTTTTTTACGTTTAATTTTCTTGATGAAATGAAACGAAAACTTAAAAAAGTCGAGCCCAGGAAATTCTATAGAAAATACTTCAATATAATAATAAGTTGTACCGAAAAAGCGAATTCTATTGACTTTTTCTACGAAATATTTTCCATTGAATACTTCAACAGAAGTCGACCAAAACTAATAGCGAGTTCAATAGAAAACCAATAGAATTGCCTAGAAAATTCTCTGGGTTTGTCTACGAAACTTTTTCGTGCGTGTTTCGGAGGCTTTTGTATTCACTTCACCAACATCTCATTTTGAATGCCGAAATGACGCATTGTTAGAGTGTGTCACTGTTGCTATCAGAGCCAAACGTGTTGCTGAGTAGTGGAATGAGTTATCGAACGTAACCAGTAATTGAAGCGGAGTTCAAGCTGTTTTTAAGGGTGATTGATTTTCCAACAGGTATCCATGTTTAGCCTTTTGATAGAAGAAAATGAAAACCTCAAAGTGCTGAGATCGTTGAGAACTCTTCGGGCACTGAGACCACTCAGGGCAATCTCGAGATGGCAAGGCATGAGGGTAAGATTCTACTAACAAGTGGTTTTAATATTATATTAGTCGTGAAGGAAAAAATTAACTTCAAGACACCATTTTTTGTGATCCAATAAATACGAAAGCTCTTGATTTCTTTCATAAAATATTCCAATGTGTTTTTTCAAGTGAGAGAAAAATTAGCGTTGGAGGCCCGGCTCTATTATCTGCCGGGCGTTATATAAATTGATTTTTTGCTCGATTTCACAGATAAAAAAATTCAACAGAAAACCTAGCGAATTCGCTAGAACATTTTATTCAAATTCTATTGAAAAATTCTATTTGTATTTTGCACTGATTGTATTGGACATTTAGCAAGAAAAAGTCAATAGATTTCGAATTTCTGTTTGAATTTTTCTCTTAGATTTATTCTATTAGAATTATTGGGCAAAAATGCTCATTGAAATTTTTTTTAATATTTTTCAGAATTTTTATATCACACTTTTAAGATGAATTACTAATCAGTTACGCCAATCTCCTCCATTGACAATTGTGTTGGCGATAATGTCGCCGGGCCTGAAATGAAAAATAAAGTGTTGCATCAGAATTCCCTGATGATTGCGTTACGATTTTCCCATGAATTTCCATCCACTTGTTCAATTATTTTTGTTTAGATTGTAGTGAACGCGTTGATGTACGCAATACCCAGTATTTTCAACGTGCTCCTCGTTTGTCTCGTGTTCTGGCTGATATTCTCCATAATGGGAGTTCAATTCTTCGGTGGAAAGTTTTTCAAGTGTTTGGATGAGTACGGCGAGCTTGTAGATATTTCGGTAAGTGATACAATTGTTGAAGAAGTGGAACAACTCCCCAGAGAGGCGAAAAAGACTGCCGCAAAGAGGAGTATATGAAATTTCTCCCTCAGTTTACTATTCACCAACTTTTCATTGTAGATAGTGAACACAAGAAATGATTGCCTGACGAAAAATTACACTTGGGAGAACAGCAAGATAACTTTCGATCACGTTGGTATCGCTTATTTGGCACTATTCCAAGTTGCTACCTTCGAGGGCTGGATGGAAGTGATGGAGGACGCAGTGGACGCTAGGGGCGTTGATCTTCAACCGCAGAGAGAAGCTAATTTGTGGGCCTACATATATTTCGTTATATTTATCGTCTGTGGTTCCTTCTTCACGCTCAATCTGTTCATTGGAGTTATCATTGATAACTTTAATATGTTGAAGAAAAAGGTAATGGGGATTTATTTATGATGCTGACTATTGCCTTGAATGTAATACATCTGTTGCACATTCTTTGGCCGCGATTCATGCAAAAACGACTGAATGGATTTCAATGGTATTTTCAATATTACATAGTTTAGGGTCCCCAGTCGGCTTTAGGCTGTAAGTTATTACGCTATGGTGCGTAGTTTGATATACGCCGTAGAAAGTTGTATAAAATTCTAGAGCTTTCTGGAAAATTATAGAATTTTCTCGAGTTTTCGCGAGAAAAATTTGAAAAAAATGAATATTCAGCGTCATTTTGCACAAAATTGTTATTTTTTTAAACATTCGTTGTTTATAAATAAATAATTGAAATTGTTCAAACTTTCGGAAACCTCTTTTTTTAGGCATAGAATCAATTTTTCGAAATATTGTGAATATGAATAATTTTTTTACAAAAATTGATTGTTTATAAATTATTTATAGAAAATATTCGTAATAATTCTCAAAAATTGCAATTTTTTGATTATTTCATCGATCTTCTTCTACAAGTAAACTTTCCAAGTTTTTTCAGATTTAAAAAAGGTTTCATAACGATTCAATTTCCTTTCTATAAAGAATAAAAGTCATCAATAAAATTACATAGTTTAGGGTCCCCAATCGGCTGTAAGTTATTGCGCTACGGTGCGTAGTTTAATATACACCGTAGGAAGTTCTAAAAAATTCTAGAGCTTTCTGGAAAATTATATAATTTTTTCGAGTTTTCGAGAATTTTTTTGAGATTTCTACAAAGTTTGCGAATATTTTCGGGATTTACAGAAAATTCCCGAAAATTCTCGGATTTTCTAAACAATTCGACAAAAATTCGAGAAAAGTTTCAGTTTCAAAGGGAATTTGAAAGAACTCTTGAATTTTCTAGAAAATTCGAACGAATTCTCTGATTTTCTTGAAAATTAGACAAAATTCGATGGAATTCTCGAAGTTTTTAAAAAAATTGTTTTGTTCCAATTGAGCAATTTAATCTAAAATTCTTGAGAATTCCTGCAATTAAAAAAAAACACCTCAATGTTATTGACTATTTTAAAACACCCAAAAAGTTAAGAAAATTCTCGGGTGTTCTAGAAACGTCGAAAATACACGGAGAGAAATGTTCAATAAAAATTACGTATCTTTTCCGTAATTCCAGAACTGTAACGGAATTTTTCCGGAGCGTTCCGTAATTTTTATCTGAATTTCCTGTGAAAAAATACAATACCGTCACTTAAATTTTCTGAGTCGATTTCGTAATCGGTGTGTGAATTGTGAGTTCCATAATTTTTACTGAACATTTCTCTCCGTGCAGCGAAACGTTTTTTCAAATCGCAGGAATCCTCAAAAATCCTGTTGTTCAATTTTCTCTCATTCTGCAGCTAGTTATTTATAATAGTCTTTGGAGAATATCCTTTCCCACTTCGCTACCGAATTGATAATTCCAGAGATAATCACCCACCACATCCTCCTGCATCTAATTTTTTCAATTTACCACTCGTTAAACTTGAAACAAATTAAAATAAATTAAGTTGTTACCTACTCTTGCAATAATTCTCACGATCGATTTCTCTTTTTTTCAGTACGAGGGTGGCGTGTTAGAAATGTTTCTGACCGAGAGTCAGAAGCACTACTACACAGCCATGAAAAAGCTCGGTCGTAAAAAACCACAAAAAGTCATAAAACGTCCGCTGAATCAATTCCTAGCCATGTTCTACGACTTGTCCAACTCGAGAAGGTAATACATTTATTATCAGCTTCTTTTTATCCTCCTTACTCGATTCTTTGTCGCCGACTGCTTCATTCTGTTCTCGTTCACGATAAGTTGAATTTAATGGCCATTGGCGGTCTACATTCTGGGGAGAGGAAAATTGAAGTTGGGGAAATGGAGGATATCGAGGATTTTTAATTGACCGAAATCGATGGAAGGCAAAAAAGCCAATCTTTTTATCTCCTTTTATTCCACCATTTTACTTCCTCAAGATTTACCCGAAAGAGAGGATTAAAAATGTTTGACTTGTTAAAACATTTCCATTATTCTCTACAAAAATCATCCATTGATACACATCTCCCAAAAATTTCTGAAAGTAATATGAACAATTCAGTAGCAAAGTGGTAAAACGGTTCAAGTCGACTCATCTCCTAGTTGAGTTTTTGAGGAATATTTCCGAATCTAAGGAAGATAGCGAAATTTTCGTAATTACATTTGTTATAGCTCTCAATCTGCTCTACAAAAGAGCTTATAACATAAATTTTGCTATCTCCCTTAGATTCCGAAATATTCATTGAAAACTGGTCAATAGTCAAAATTGACACCGTTTTACCACTTCGCTACTGAATTCTAAAATAACCGAGAAATAACTTGTCAAGATCTGAAAACGTCTTCCACTGAAGTGAAAAAATAAAGCACTGAATTTTTCAGATTTGAAATAGCCATCTTCGTCTTGATATTTTTGAATATGCTGACAATGGGAATAGAGCATTACAACCAGCCGCACCCAATATTCTTCCTCCTGGAAGTGTCCAATGCATTTTTTACAACAGTATTTGGCCTCGAGGCGATTGTGAAGATAATTGGTCTGCGCTATCACTACTTCACTGTACCCTGGAATCTATTTGATTTTCTACTCGTTCTTGCATCGATACTTGGAATACTCATGGAGGACATTATGATTGATTTTCCCGTGTCCCCGACGCTCCTGCGAGTCGTGAGGGTGTTCAGAATTGGACGTATACTGAGACTTATCAAAGCAGCCAAGGGAATAAGAAAACTATTGTTCGCACTTGTCGTCAGTTTGCCGGCTCTCTTCAACATCGGGGCATTGCTCGCCCTTATCACGTTCATATATGCCATCATTGGTATGTCGGTTTTTGGACATGTGAGGAAGCAGGGTGCACTCGATGACATGGTGAGCTTTTTTATTTATTTATTTTGTATCGGTGGCGTCACTTTGCAAAGAATTTGCTCAGAGTCATTTTGCGCAGAATTATTATTCTTTTAAACATTCGTTGTTGATAAATAAATAATGGAAATTGTTCAAACTTTCGGAAACCTAATTTTTTTAGGCGTGGAATCAATTTTTACAAATATTCTGAATATGAATAAATTTGTTACAAAAATTGTTTTTTTTATAAATTATTTACAGAAAATGCTCGTAACTCTCTGTGACGTGTGGAGATATTCACACGTCGATTTTATTCAATTAATATTTTCTAGATAGAAAAAGTCCCAAATGCTCAATAAGCAGTCTCACGGTGACACCTGAGTCCAGCTTCTCAGAATGGAGCTGTTTGATTGTCTTAGCCATTGTCAGTGATGGACATATGGCCGTGTTAGTTAGAAAAACCGTGAGAACACTTATTTAGCATTTTCGGCCAGCAACGACTTTGAAGCTCTGGAATAGTGCAGAGTACGGCAGGAGTTGAAGATGGACGGACGTCCTCTCCTAGCCAAAAATCTATAGTAGATCCGCGTCGAAACCGAACCCATTTAACAGTTGATTTTATACTTTACCTATCTATTCAATATACTGTCAATTATTAATGTAACAGTGGTGCTCGATTGTTTTATACGAAGAATACCTAATCAAATCCTATCCTAGTCGCGTCACGTTAGATCTTGAGAGAAATCCGCGTGAGCTCTGACCGTAGCTAGTTGAGCAAAAGTTTTTGAGTCGACTGGTGACTCAATTAAGGGAGGTAGAAAACCTCATCACGTCACACTCTCAAAATTTGCAATTTCAAAATTATTTCATCGATCTTCCTCTAAACGTAAATTTTCTCATTTTTTTCAGATTTAAAAAATGTTTCATAACGATTCAATTTCCTTTCTATAAAAAAATAAAAATCATCAATAAAATGAATACTCGGTTCCTCCTATTACTTTTCATAACTAAATCACGTATTCATTCTCCATTAAAGGTGAATTTTGAGACCTTTGGTCGGAGCATGCAGCTGTTGTTTCGCTTGATGACGTCGGCAGGGTGGAATGACGTCCTGGAGTCTCTAATGGTTCAACCGCCGGACTGCGATCCCACCCCAACCAGCCGGCAGTTGAACGGAGACTGCGGATATCCTCTCCTAGCCATAACATACTTTACGTCTTTTATAATCATCAGCTACATGATTGTTATCAACATGTACATCGCTATTATCCTGGAAAATTTCAACCAGGCGCACCAAGAAGAAGAGATCGGCATTGTTGAGGATGACTTGGAGATGTTCTACATAAGATGGTCCAAGTAAGGCAACATTATTCACGCTAGACCCCTGTTGCTCATTTGATTCCTGTCCCTTCATTTCATTCCTTTTATTTTAAGGCCCGGGTGTACTGTCTTTCGAATGTTATCTGTATTTTTTTTATCTTTCGTAATCCAAAATTGTCAATTGACTGGTAGGGTAAGCCACCCAGTAGATGAACACTGCCGTATAGATGAACGAGCTACTTTTGGATAGGAAATAACGCAAAAAAATGTTGAACTGCGAATTGTTGCTTTGAAATTTCACTAACTGTGGTGATTCTTAACCCCTGAATGACGATTTTTTTTCGATCAATTTTTTTTTCAATTGCTAAAAGAAACAATATAGTGAAAATGATCATCGATTTGTTCACTTTGAACACGTACTATTAATATCCAAATACAAAATTTCTGGTATGAATAAAAAAAGCTGTGACTCAATATTCCAAATTAAGTTTAAATTTTTGACTTGTTGCTGAAAACAGAAAATGACAATATTCTAAGCACGGAGTCATATTGATGAGGTAAACAACAGATAATTGAATTACTAGGTGAACTAACTAAAAATTGATAACAGTGTGGGCATTCACTTTTACCAGAGTAACTACTAAAACATTGAATTCCCGAAATTCACAATGTAAAGTGTATTAATAATAATGATAGAAGTATTATGTTTAAAATATTATTCAGAGAACATAAGAATTAGAACAGGAGCAAATAATTTCAGTAGCGAAGTGGTAAAAAGGTACAAGTCAATTTTGGCTATTGGCCAATTTTCACTGAATATCTCGGAATCTAACGAAGATAGCAAAATTTTTGTTATAACCTTTTTCGTAGAGCCGATTGAGAGCTACAACAAATGTAATTACGAAAATTTCGCTATCTCTTTTAGATTCAGAAATATTCCTCAAAAACTCTATTGGGAGATGAGTCGACTTGAACCGTTTTACCACTTCGCTACTGATTTGTTGTAATATAAAAATTCAATAGCTGATAAATTGGCACATGTCATTCTCATCGGTCGTATTGCTTTTAGCATCAACGAGAATGATTATGAACAATGAATTGAAAAAAGGAATATCGAGTCTGACAGGAAAAAGGGCATCAACACCCCGGCCGCAAGCGTTACTCTTTACAATTTATTTTATCATGAAAGTTTGGTTTTTATGGTGGGTACGACAGCTGATGGATAATAAAGATCATAAGGGATGAGGGTGGATCAAAGGGGCATCATTCGCCTCCCGAAATTTCAATTGGGATGGGTAAAAGGGTCTGGGGTATAGGGAGGATCGATTCTCAGATGAAAAGGAGAAAGTATGACGAGGAAAAATGAAGGAGGAAAAATCTGGAGAAACACCCCAAATACATGAAGAATTCAATGGAAAACGCTAATGTTTCCTCAATCATCAATAATTAAGAGACCTTTCTGACAGCTCTCTAATATTTTCCGAATTGATTAGTTTCACAAACATTTGGAGGACAGTTTTTATGGAGCTCTTGGATTCATCTCCTGCTCCGCAGTATTTCACTCAAATCGTGAAGAGGATTAAAAAGAACAGGGAGGGGTCCATTGGACGGAAATAGAGATGAATGAAAAAGAAATTAACTGCAGTGACATTTGCCCTTTTGAATGGTTCAGTGCTTCGTCGTTGGTTGTAAGACATAAAATAAGAGACAAAAGAGAACATGAAAGTGAAGGATCTCTCGAGGGGGTCGGAGGGAAAAGGACGCCGGATGAAATACTGAATTTTTCATTTTGATCACTCAATACTTCTAGAAATCTTATGATAACACGCACGAAAAAATTTAATATAAATACCTAGGGGATTCGCTAAACAATTCCATTGGATTTCTATTGAACTTTCTATTAGTTTTTGGCCGATTCTGTTGAAACGTTCAATAGAAAGTATTCTACAGAAAAAGTCAATAGAATTCGATTTTTCTACAGAACTTCTATTAAATGTTCTAAAAAAATTTTTCGTCTCAAATTTTTCATGTTTTTATCATTCTAATTTTTTTTCTTTTCGTGGAGAAAATGAAACAAAAAAACTTGGAAAATTTGAGCTGAGGAAATTCTGTCGACAATATCTCGAAAGAATAAGTTACATAGAAAAATTGAATTCTATTGACCATTTCAATAGAATTGTCTATGGAATTCACTAGAATTTTCTACGATTTTTTCTCATACGTGAAAGTACACATTTATATCAGCCCTGAATATCAAGAATAATTATTGAATATGAACAAATAAATCACTCAATTCGTCTCGCCCAGTTGAGCCTAATGAAAGTTTGACCCTCCTTCATTTTTTTGTCTACGAGATCGGCCGCGCTTGCTGCGCACGCGCCTTCTAATCTCCTCCCGTACTGGCGCTTCGGTTTCTTACGCTTAGTCTTAGGCTTACGCTTATTCGAGATTTTCGAGATATTTCGAGATCGATATCTTTTCTCCTTTTTACGATAGGATATTTTTGAGAGTTATGAATAACCCGTCGCTTAAATAGTTGGAATCAACGTTCACTCGGTTAAAAAATTCAATTTTGGCGAAAGTCGACTTTCTCCCTGGAAAAACGAAAAATCTGACCCTTTGAAAATCTGAAAAAAAAAACTTCCAGTTTTCACTTTTTCCACCTACTTTTGAGAGTTCTGAATAGCCCGTCGCTAAAATAGTTGGAATCAACGTTCACCCGGCTAAAAATTTCGATTTTGACGAAAGTCGACTTTCCCCCTGGAAAAACGGAAAATCTGACCCTTTGAAAATCTGAAAAAAAAAAGTTTTCCAGTTTTCACTTTTTCCACCTACTTTTGAGAGTTCTGAATAGCCCGTCGCTTAAATAGTTGGAATCAACGTTCACCCGGCTAAAAATTTCGATTTTGACGAAAGTCGACTTTCCCCCTCAAAAAACGGAAAATCTGAAAAAAAAACTTTTCCAGTTTTCACTTTTTCCACCTACTTTTGAAAGTTCTGAATAGCCCGTCGCTCAAATAGTTGGACTCAAAGTTCACCCGGCTAAAAAATTCAATTTTGGCGAAAGTCGACTTTCCCCCTGGAAAAACGGAAAATCTGACCCTTTGAAAATCTGAAGAAAAAAAACTTTTCCAGTTTGCACTTTTTCCACATAATTTTGAGAGTTCTGAATAGCCCGTCGCTAAAATAGTTGGAATCAACGTTCACCCGGCTAAAAAATTCGACTTTGGCGAAAGCCGCCTTTCCCCCTGGAAAAATCCAAGATCTGACACTTTGGCCCCCGGTGAAAAAAAAAATTCTTTTCAATTTTCATTTTGCGCACGCGTCTTCTGATCTCCTCACGTAGTGGCGCTTCGGTTTCAGTTTTATGCTTACGCTTATTCGAGATTTTCGAGATCAATTTCTTTTCTCCTTTTTACGATAGGAACAGATGGGAAAAAAGTTTGAAAACCGAAACTTTCACAACACATGATTAACTGACAATTTTCATGTAAAATTGAATTTGTTACAGATACGATCCTCACGCTACTCAATTCATACGATTCTCCCAACTTAGTGATTTCATCGCAAGCTTAGACCCACCTCTGGGAATATCAAAGCCCAATGTTGTTGCATTGGTCAGCTTTAATCTTCCTATAGCCAAGGGCAACAAAATACATTGTCTGGACATCCTTCACGCTCTCGTCAAGCACGTACTCGGACACGTTGAGGAGTCGGAGGATTTTCGTAAATTGCAGGAACAGATGGATGGGAAATTCAAAAAACAATTTCCAACCAGAAAGGAATTGGAAATTGTCTCATCTACGAGACTTTGGAAGCGGCAGGACAAGGCTGCCAGGCTCATACAGCGTACATACCGTGAATATATAGCGTAAGTTGGGCTAATGAACAAAAGTTTTTAATGGTACGTTTTGGAGATCGATATCACCAAACTGTTGATTACTTTGGGCTTAACAAGTTTAAAGGGATCTAGTGGGCTTGGAGTAATTTGTTTGCCTCATTTTAAAATTACGGAAGAGCTTTTGAGAGTTGAGACTGAAATTTAACGAATTTAACTAATTAATTTTAACAATTACATGAATAATAATGATTAAGCTTGGAATTTCTGTTTCGATTGGTGAAAATTTTCAACATTTTTCGCCGAATCTGCTAGTTTTAGAATTATTGGAGAAATTAGTTGGCGTCGGAGTTCACGTGAATAAGAAAATTCAATTTATAAAAATTAGCCCTGAAAAACCTGATTGTTAATACTGGATTCTGATTGGTCAATGAGTCACGCGAAATTAGTCACTCAAAAACACGCGCAATTTTCAAATTCTTCAAACTCACGAATCATTCTTTGAGTCATAACTGTTCATTTTCCTATGTTCATCATGCGCGGAATTAATTCTTCCTTTTTGGGTTTTCATTAATCATGTACTTTCATGAATCTCATAAATTTGAATTTCTTCCATTTCTTCATGTGCAAATCATTTTGAAGATTAGCGAATGCTCTTCAAAATCACATGTTGCTATCCCTGCCTAGTCGACCATTCCTGGTGGCAAAAGATCTCGAACCTCTCAAGATTATACATCAGTTCATTAAAATATGTAAAATCAGAATTTAAGATCTCTAAGTATGAGTGTCCACAACGAAAGACCTAAAACAAATTAGTACCAAATATGTTACTGCAGCAACTACTATTTTCCTTTATAACTTTCGGACATCTTAAGTGAATGTAAATAACCCACTGTAGGTTACTAAAATAAATTTTAAAAAATGCCTAGTCGGCTTAGAAGCATCGAAAAATCCAACCAAAATTAATTTTCCAAGTGAAACATGAAAATTCAATGTTCACCTCAAACTCTCATAAGTTGATGAAAAATTGGCGCAAATGGGCAAATCAGGTCTCATTTTAAAGCTTGCTTAATAAACGTTCAACTGAGTACATTAAATGAATGATTCGTGGAAAAGAAGTAAGAAGTTCAGCATGAAATTTTTTTCTGGAATCTACACTGAGAAAAAAATATGATTCTTCTGACTATATTCCATCACCATCGAACTATAGTCAAAAAGTCCTCAACAATTTCTCATGAGTTCTAGTAACTATGGCCGGAGAAGTGATTATTACAATGGAATGTAGTCATTGCAACTATTTTATAGTTCTCCTCACGATAGATTTGTCGTGGTTACTTTTGAACTTTGGTTAGTTTAACTGCATTTTGATTTGCAAAAATTACGCTTGTGAAGTTAATATAATGTTATGTGCCGCATACAAAAAAAATCGTATCGTTCACCAAAATTCCTCAATTATTTTCTTATTGTAAATCGAACTTCAGATTTTTCTCTCAGTGTAAAGATAGTAAAAATGGCCATTAACTCCTTTTTAATGAATAAATGAATACATAACGATAAAAAATAATATATCACGTGAAGCGCACCCCCTTTCCTAGTGAATGGACGCAACACCTCCATTAATTAAAAAAATCCCTCCAATCGATCAATTTCAGAATGAAGAAAGAGAGAGAGAGAATAGCGCACGAGGTGGATTCCCAGACCCAAACATCGAGCCCGGGTGGCGTGGGGAGCGAAGGCAGAGGCGGTGGGTGGGGTGGTAAGCTGTCGGCCCTTCTCCACGTACATCGGGGCAGTCGGGCCAGTAGCCGCAAGTCCTCCAGGGCCAGCGACGCCAGCGATCTCAGCGAGTTAGGAACCGCGTCAGCATGGCTATTTCCGAATCTTCCACTCTTGCTGCTCTCCGGCGCCACAGGTACTCATGAGGACCTGCAGCCCCCCGCCTTAACCGTATCCCGTCCCTCGCCAACCATGGAACAACCCTCGGCGATGTCTGCCACCTCCAGCTCTGGCTCAGACTCTCACGGCACTGTCAGGTGAGTTTTCATTTTCATTGCATTATCAAACTAATATTTCAGGCTCTGAAACCTCATATTTACATATAATGATCCATAATTTTTGCTTCCGAATGGAAGCATTGCACTCGTCACATCCAAAATTGTCAATTTTTTGGGTCGGGGTATGTGATTTTGGCCTCAGGAGTTCGAAGATGCTATTTTTAAACTACAGTAGAGGCTTCGTATGAGATACTTCTCTGTAAGATACCGCGCACTAAGAGCGCTCGAGGCCTATCCCCCACTCTCGGCACTTTTATCGCCTCCCGAATATTTATGCTCTGTGGGCTTCTTCGTCATTTTTCAACGGGAAGAGAGTAGTTGTAAGGATCAAACGGTGTTAAGGGTCAAACGGGAGGGACGAACGAAGTGATCATGAGGGTCTAATGACCTTAAGGGGGGGTTACACCACTTTTTTCAAGTAATGGAAATATACATCAACTTTTTTTTCACTTTTCCCAGCGGAAAATCGTAATTTTTCGTTTGTGATTATTCTCGAGTCCACCAACAATCGCCCAACATCAGCTGCCATTCTATCAGGCGGAGTTATGTTTAGAGAGAAAAGGGAACGTCGGCGATACAAATTTGAAACATTAAACACATATAAATTGATTAGTTATTGATATTCATGCAGTAAAAATGATAATTTCATTGAATTCGGGCGCAACGAGCGAGGTGTCTTATTTGAAACCCGCTGATCCCTATTTTTCTCCTCTCTATGGGCGCGCAGTGGGGGCGTAGGAGTTCCCGGAATTCCACTCTCCTACACGGAGAGAAATATTCAAGAAAAATTACGGAACATTTCACGTAATCCGCAAGCGAGAATCGTTTTCAGTGAATTTCTATAGGAATATAAGAGAATAAATCTGAAACGTTCAGTAAATTTTCGGGTCTGTCACCGAAAAAATACGAAAAAGTCACGTAATTTTTCTGGAAGTTGTAAAATCTAACAGAAACTTCAAGACTTTATGCCTCAGAACATGAAAATTCTTGGATGTTTAAGAATTTTTACGAAAAGTTCCGGAAAAATTACGGAACGTGTTGTTAAAATCTCCCCCTCACAGTGACTCATGGCTAGCCGTGAGGCGTCGGACGGATGAGTAATTTTTACTGAACAGATCGTAGCATTTACGTGATGATTGACACTTTTTACTGAATTTTACTTCGCTCCCAGATTACGTTTCGAAACGTAATTTTTACGTCTTTTTTCTGGTAATTTTTATTGAATATTTCTCTCTGTGTACTGTCCCTAAGGTATCTTATACGAAGCCTCTACTGTATGTCCAGATGTATGAACGATCATTTTTCGACGATAACTGAAAATTTTATTGTTTAAGGATGTTTATCCAAAATCACAAGCACTTAAAAAAAATGTTTTTTTTTTTAACGGAGAGATGAAGATATTCCCTTCATTTTTATATAAATTTCAATCCACCGACCCATGTTCATTATTTAGAAATGAAATAGATAAAATGCACCAAATGCATGCGCTAACATGCGCTTATGTGGGATAGAATCATTCAAATATTTCCTCTTTTTGCCCGGGTACCCCAGACTTTTCTCTGGCCATTGGATTCAGTATGATGTTACACATTGCCTTCTATTTTTATTTTTATTTTTAGAGTCTGACAGTAGGTGAATTATCAATTTGAACATAAATTTCATAAGAGCCCGTGCATCCGGAAAATAACTATTATTCATTTCTGCCGAGACTATTGCGATTAATTTTTTTTTACGTTAGAAAAGTTTGTTTTATATGTTCTTCAGTCAGTCGGCTAAACATCCTTAAATAAATCCCATTGTTATTTAAAATATTCTTTCCAATGCCACCTTGACCGAGTTCGATCATGAGATTGAGTACACCATCTGCTGTTGAAAAAAATTATTTAGAAACCGATATCCAGGTAAATGTCAGAAATTTTAACGTTGGGGCAATGTTCAATCCAATGAATCATTGAATTTAATTGAAAATACATCGTCATAGAAATTCCATTCGGAAGCAAATTGCTAATTTATTAGCAAAATTATGTTGACTGTGCTGTGATGAAAGCAATTTCCCACCTGTTTATTTTTACTGATCGGAAAGATGGAAGAATTCAGTTGCGGTTAGCGAGGCGTGTTAATTATCGACGCCGCTCGTTAATAGTTAACGGATGGCGTTGATAGTTTACAAACCATAAACACTGTTTCTCTATTACGCCAAAAAAATCAGAGGCCGGTCGCTCGATATTAGAAGTAGATGTGACCCATTATGGAGTGTAATGGAGAACCAGTTTCAACAGCAACTAAGTAACCAGACTTAATAAATTGCTTTTTCATCGACTTATTTACATATTTATTTGTGTGTCTCATTGACCTTGCATTCGATATTTTTGATTATTAATTCAGTAGAGAAGTGTTGAAACGGAATTATCGAATCACTAGCGAACGGGCGCTTCGCGCCCGTCGCTAGATTGTATTATATTAATTTATTTTATTGTTTTCTTTCCAATTTTTCTTTGTGGTTAGATTAAATTTAATTTATTGGATTCTATTCCCATTGTAGTATAAATTATATTATAAATTATGGGAAGTTTTTCTCATTTTCAACTGAAGAGATATTTATGTTAATAATATCAGTATAATATAATAATTCCTCTCAATGAAAAAATCATTTCATCAGATCATGGAAATGAAATTATTCGTTTTCATGATCTGATTTCATTGAGAGGAAATGAGAGAAATGCAGGGAGAGATGATCAGCAAGAAAATAAAAGAAAGCGATTTTTTATTTTTCTGAAAAATTTCAAAAATGATTTTTTTTTAAATGACGAAAAAATATCAATATAATCCATTTCTATGATCTAATTTCAATGGAAAAAAGTGAAAAAAGAACAGATACGTGATCTACAAGAGAACAAAATTTTCAATTTTTCGATGTCTCCGGAAAATTTTTAAATTGATATATTTTTTTTAATAATGGAAGAATATTCATGAATCCAGCTTCTATCCTCACATTTTGATAGAATACATCAAAAAAATACGAAGCAATAAAAATCGGAGAGGAAAATTTTTATCGAATTATTATTATGTAATTTTTTATCAATTTAAATTATTAATAGTTAAAGTATGGAAAAATGTGACGTGAATGTCGGGTATGGAACAGCCAAGAGAAATCTCCATTCAAGAGGGTGCCGAGAAGTCTATTTCATCCTAATAATAAAAACTTTTCCAAGTTTTTCATTAACACGAATAACTGTCAAGTGGAACTAGTGAAGAATTATTTACAGAGTTTCACACGATAATGGTATGGAAGTTTTGTTTCAGTCCTAAGGGTTTTCCACATATTTCACTCTGTTGTTTTTGACATAGTGCTTTGAGGTCGCCTCCCGGTTGGATCGGGAAAATTCGTACGAAGGAGAAACTTCTTCCAGTGGAAATGACTTTCTCAATCATCTTGAAATCTAGGGGAAGCCATACACGCAAATCTGTCGATCACTTTGTCCGAATAATCATATATTTGCTAATAAAAATTAACAAATAAAATGGAGAAAATGGACTTTAGGAGTAAAGCGCACGTATAAAAGTCAATTTTAACGTCAGAATTATCTCGAAGGTTTCCCGGATTTTTTTTCCCCCGAAAAAAATCCACCGGAAACAAATTCCCGGAATTATTTCCCCTTACGAATGTAAAAAACAATTAAATCAACACAGATTACCAACGTCAATTTTATTTATTACATTCTTCAATCTTCGAAGGCACGCCAGATGAAAATTCAACTTTTTCAATAGATCAATAGTAAATAAATTACGTTACTGCAATAAATTAATTATCAACATTTTCAACAAGAATAAAAAATGCTCAGGGGGAATTGTTCCAACTTGTTAATGTCTGAACAATGTAATATTATGTGTAACTTGGAAGAGTAACGAGAATTCTTTCCAACATTAACAATAAAGTTAAAAATTATCGTATGTTTATTTTTCATTTTTGCCGGAGATTTTTTTTTTTCAGTGATTTTCAGGGGAAATTAATTCCGGGGGAATATTTAGAGGAGGGATTTTTTTCACGGAGAAATTTTTTCGGGGTGAAAAAAATCCGGTCATCATTTCGAAGTGGAAAAAAATTATGACTGCAAATGCTTATTGGAGTTCTCAATTTCTTGGACGGTATCGGTGTTTAAAATATCTATATTATTTTTATGACCATTATCAAATAATTTTGTTGCGGCAAATTATTTCCTTCCCAGACGGATGATTTATTTTCGAGACATAAGACTCAACTAGTGAATTCATTGGAAACATCAAAATTTTGACACCCAGAATAAATTATGTTGCCACTTTTTCGTACTACAGGTGATTCGTTTCGCTTGACTTTTTCCACCACTTCACTACTGAATTCATCATCAAACATTAAATCACTAATTTCTCTGGATTATTTACTGTACGAATGAACATTGATTAAATCGTCCACTTTGTTTCATTTACAAATGTCAAACACTCAAGGCAGTTAAGTGACTAGGTAAACAGATTCAACGAAAGTTTGAGAAGGAACGAGAGTTGTTATGAAGTTTACTGTTATAATTATTGATAATGTTATCTTCAGTCGTTCGAATAGAAGGCAACGGCGCCTGTGGCAACCCGTAACTACTTGCACGACTTTTTCTACTTAAAGTGAGCGCATGATGCTTATGAACGTTGAAAGCTCTTAGATTGGGTATTTTTTACGAGTTAATTAATTAAGTAAATAGTCAGAAGAATAATAATCTGAAAATTATCAAATTTCATAAAGTTTATAAATTATTCCATAATAAATCAGGAGAGATGAGAAAAAAATTATCGATTATTTCTGTCCAAAGAATTTGAAACTAATTCATAAATTTAATTGTTTGAAGGTGGAAAATTTATAAATTTTTGATGGTAATTAAAGACTTGTTTTTTTTTTGGTAAAACGCTTTTCTCATGGCCGCAAGTAATTACGGGTTCAGTAGGTATTACGTTAATCTTAGTGGCTAAATACAATAACTCTAGCTATTGTTCATTTCCATTATTTTATGGCCTTTACTACCTTTACGAGTACTTCATGAATAATGTACGGATTTATTTATAATTAACATCCGAATATTAATCGACAATTTCTTGTTGCGTAGATAGTTGATACAGCTTCCTCTCTACTATGCAATAGTCCCAAAAATAATAACTCTACTAGTGAGGCGAGAAATAGAAACTAACATAATGAGATATTTTAGTGCTAAATAATAACATTTTAGATAACTTTTAAACGTTTTAGGTAATCTTTTGAGAATTATGATAAGTTTAGATGAATATTCAATCAGCATCCAGATGAATGATTCATTTAAATCGGAGAATTCTTTTTGTGAATCTTGATTTTTTTAGTCAAATTTCATTCGTTTACTTCTGCATCCGAAGCAATAAACGGAGATGAGCCCATATTCACGGACTATCCAGCAGATGTCTGACTTATTACGCCGGTTCTTATCTAGATAACGATGAGTTTCTGGGAAACTATCAGAGACATCTATTGGCAGCACAGAAAAAGTCAAGAATGCTGATATTTTTCCTAACCTCACTCTTTTACCAGATAATCATCTATTCAATGAGATGAGTGAACTGAAAATAATCAGATTATTCAACGGATATTAACAAATCCTTAAAAATGACTATGAAACAAAAATCATGCCAATACTATATGAGAATACCCAGAAATAAGATGATTAATCCGATTTGAATGAAAACAATTCTCTGTAAATGTCGAGAAATCCAGTTTCCAGCACTTTGACATGCAAAAAAAATTCCAGATCATCGGGAGCGACGCTGGGTCGTCAGGACGCTGTGGAGTCCTACCCAGACGACGATGCCCTGAGTCCCCCGACGTCAAAACGAGGCTCAATGAGGCCCAGTGGCACTGCCCTCTCCCTGAACATTCTCCAACGTGACATCAAAGATGCATTCACAAGGCGGTGCAGTAGCCTGAGACGAAGATCAGCAGTTCCAAGTCCTCTGGCAAATGAGCCAGCTCCTCTGAGGATACCTGATCGCACTGATGTCAGTATCCTAGTGACGGAGCCAAGTCCTGAGAATACAATACCCTCGGGACGACCTCCATTGCTGAGGCAACAATCAGAGGCAACTGTTGTTCACGTTCTTGTTCATCGCGAGAGCGAGGAGTACCAGGAGACACCTGATGACAGCTGATCGTAGCGTCCTCAAGGACATCATTGTCAGGGAATTATTTTCATCATGTGTGAGAAATTTTTTCGATTCTCTGCTTTGTTAACTGATGGAAGAAAAATCTTGTTTTATGTTATCTAATGCGAAATTATACGAAAATCATTTATTATTTTATGTTCTATTGTAAACAAAAAGTTGTTTTTGATAAACTTATTTTTTTGGTGTGTTTGATAAATTCGGTGAAGGAGAAGTAGAATCTTCTTCTCTCCTTCCTGACCACGCAATGTGCTACGCATGCGCAGATTGCGCAGTAGGATGCGCAGGTGCGCCACGAGTGAATCGACGCCATCCAGGCGTTTTTCACATGGAAGAAAATATGAACATGAGAGAATACATATTTGGAACATTCCCCGCCAACTCAGCCACCTGGATTGTTTTGAATAAGGAATTTCTGTGAATTTTTCTCACCTTAACACCACTCTTTCGCCTAAATCTGAAGATAATAGCTCCAATTTTCAGAAAAATATCTTGCGAACAAACAGGCGGATTTGAAGAAATAAAAACTGATTCCTTCTGTTTTTTTCAAGTACTTTTCATAGAAAAATACTCCAGTACAGCAAGTCAATGGTTTTTCTCCTTTACTGGAAGGCGATATCAGAATACACAATTTTGAATTAGGATTCATTAATAGCCATGGTGCGTGATTTGGCATAGAATGTCCCATATTTCACTAATGTTTACCATGTGGGGAAATTTAAAGAAAGGAAGTTTCGAAAACTGGAATGCGGCTGTGATTGTTGAATTATTTCGAAAATTATCAGAACAGTTTACGCGCGAAATTTCATGAACTATAAACAAAATTCCTGATATTTTTTCCTATCCCTTTTCAATTTTAAAAAAGAGTGAAAAATTGAAATGAAATTTTTCTTCCATTCCAAAATAAGAAACAAAATGCGTTAATTACCCTTCATCTTCTCAAGACGCCTCCGAGTCTTCCGCCAATTTTACAATCTCTTACCCCTTTGTTTCATTTTTCAAATAATGAGCGAGAATATTTCAGAAGAGGATCCTAATTTTTTCATATAAAATTAGATGAGAGCCTGATAAACGTTACTGCCTCGTAGAGTGAAAGCACACGAGCGTCGCGAAGATTGCTCGTAATTCCGAGGGAATGACCAGCAAATCCCAAAGCTGATTAAATAAAACATGCCATAACGTTTCTGTCGACTCAAGTGGAATAACAAATAAAATCCAAACGAATGAATTAAATTATAATGATTTACTGTAATCATTCCCTCGGAATCACGAGAAACCCTCTAATGATGCCTCAAATCCATTAGAATTTAATGAACAAATTTGAAAAACAACCGAATGCTTGATTTGATTGAAGTTAACGATAGTAACGCATTTGCATAGAAAACAAAAGCGGATTTAGAGAATTTGAATTTACCGTTATTGAATTAACGCAGTTAAGTAGGTGTAGGCACGTTTAGAGGCGGTGGGAGGACTATTAAATTTATGGTATCGTCAGCACATTGATGATAATGAGTTGTTATCAAAATTGCTTCAATAACAAAACCCGCTGATATCCCCACAAAATCAACATTTTCGTAATTTCTGGAAAGTGCCCAATTTTTTTCATAAATATAGGGCCTTTTCCAGGAAATTTTCCAGGGCCTATAAAAAGAATAAATTTTCCCAACCATCTTTCTGATTTTTCCATTCTTTCTTGGCTGAGAATACACGGCGGAGAGTTTTCCCCGCATTCCAGCAGTTTGTTTTACTCCTAAGGCATCTTAAGATGAAGTACTTTTAAGGTGTTTTCAAAACATGAACCTTATCTTATTTTATCTCATTCTGGGATATTGTGAAATATTATCTTATATCTAGAAAATGATTCCTCCAAATTTCTTTTCTTCAAGAATATCTTCAAGTCAGCGATGAGAAAATAGATTGTAGACAAGAAAATTGTTCTTTTTTGAGGATTTTAAACCAACGAATTGAAGATGATCTAAACAGGATCAATAATTTTATGAAATGTTCAAAAATGCGAGGTGGGTCAGGTGCGGCCGCCGCCATCTTGATGGGGTAGCCCCTCCTTCTACCGGAAGAGGCTTTAAAGATGGCAACGTCCTCACCTCGTATTTCCAAACCTTCCCCAATACTATTTATGCTCTTCAGGTCACTCTCATCTCGCTCAATCTAGTTTCTATAAAAAGAACAAATTTTTCAACCCATTTTTTAGATTTTTCCATCCCCTCTGGGCTGAGAATTTCAATAGTTTTTTTTTACATCCGAGGTATATTAAGATGAAATATTTTTCGGATATTTTGAGAACATGAACCTTTAACCGTCTTATATCTATCAAATTAATCTTCAATTTTTTTTTCAATCGTATCTTCAAGTCACCGATGAGAGAATAGATTTTAGACAAAAAGCGTAACATTGTTTCTCTCAATATTGCTTTATCATCAATGATCTGACAATACCCAACACATGTATTATAAAATATAAGTCAATTAATGATATCTGTTATATGGAAAAGCTAGTTGAATACCTGTAATAAATGGAAAAAGATCGTCATTAGCGTTAAAATTTGGAAGTGAAAAATGTGTAAATGGAATGATAATTAAATGAAACTAGAAACAATCATATACGAGGGTGCCTTAATAGCACCCACACTTTAATACTGTAGATAATTATCTCGAGTCGCGATTGATTTCCAGATGCATCACGTTATTACCACTGAGATTTTATTATAAAATAACTATAAATATAATTAAAATGAAATTCATCAGACTCGATGAGTGCAATTCGATACGAAATTAATGCGCTAATTATTATTGTTTAGACGACGATCGAAGAAAGTGGAAGATAATTGCATCAATTATTTATTCAATTAATTAAATTATAAACATGAAGATGCTTGAGGAAAAACGTTGATAAAACAAAAAAAATATCTAATGCTTCGTTTTATTCGCATTTTAAAGCTCATTTACAAATTTCATAAATAATTAATATCTACGAATTGACTATACTTCAAATAATTGGAATGAAATTATTACATTAACAATTATTACGAGAATGCCAGAATTTTTTACGACTGTTTGAATATAATGAAAAATGTATCGAAGCAAATATAATTAATGGAAAAGAATACCAATTAATGCGCAATTAAAACTACAAAAATATGAGCTTTCGAATGAATTACTAGGTGCGTACGAACAAGTCACATTTTGTAAATAATATTAACGTGTATGCTATACATAATATATTAGAGAGAGAAAAAAAACAAACGTGAGAAAAAAATATAAAAAACAGGGGATTATAAATTAGATTTAAATACTCTGAGTATAGCATATCAACGAAGAATAATAGAGAATAATAATAAAAGTGCAAATATAGCCCTAGATTATTCACGAAATTATTATTGTGCACTGAACATTTTTTGCAATGATTTAACATACACAGGCGACATGGGGAGAATTTTAAAATACACAGAGGCACAAAAATTTGTTATGAATTTATTCGTCATTAAGTAATTTATTCGATAAATAGTGGAAATTATCTTTTTCTCGAATTATTAGCGTGAGGAAAATGTTAGTTGCTTGCGATTTTTTGAAGGTTTATGAGAGGTGAAAGAAATAACGTTAAATGTTTCGGGATTTTCCAGTGATTAGTGATGAAGCTTGGGGTATTAATGAAAATTATCAAAAATGACTGGTTACGGTGGCCGGAATGTCCGAGGGGACTTATTTTATTATCGAGAGACTGTGAATTATTTGCCTCGAGAGTTTCAGATATTAATAGCTTCCATACTTTCATAATTGAATCATTAATGAGTTTTGGGGGATGAAAAAATGGGGAAAATGTTGTTGGAGGATCATATTGTTCATCATATCAGAAGATCATGCCATTTTTTCGTGATCGACTTGGGTTGAAGACATTTTTGTCTTTTTTTCTTCATTTACAGATTTTTTTGCAAATCTCAGAAAGTAAGAGGTTTGAAGATTGTGTACTGTATACCAAGCGCGGAAAGTCATGTTTTCTCCATCCGCGGTGCCCATTAGGGTGCCCGTTAGTGCATTCATTCCAGAATTTTTTTGTCGCCAAGAGCTTTGTTTTTTCCCATAAGAACAATACGGGATTTTCTTGGAAAATTCGTGCAGGTGTGTGAAACAAATATTACGAGACATTTTTGTGACAACTTTCGTGGACTGAAAATGTCTTCTACTATATTTTCCTGAAAGAAATTTTAAAAAAATGAAAAACAAACTGGAGATTTTGTATCGTGGTATTTGCAAAAAAATCTGTGTTCTCATCACCAATAAAAAATCGGCGCCCGGTGTGTTTTCTGCTTGTTTCGTCAAGGGGACTATTTATTAAATAATTTCCGCATCCGCTAGCCACAATTGAAACATAAGGTAATTTTTTAGAATTTTTTTCTCAAAAAAAATCGGCGAAAAAGAAACATTTTTTATTTTCATAATTTTTATTTACCGAAAAAATGTAATAAATAGTCCTCTCAATGAATGTTAAAAATTATATGAATCGTCATTGACAATATTAATCGCTCGAACTGTAAAATAAAGTAATATTAAGACCAATGTATCGGGTGGCTTCGCGAATAAACCGAGTGACTCACCAACGAAGTCAGTAAAAATGGAAAAAAAACTTGACTCAAAAAAATTAATTTAAACAAATGGACAATCGGATTGCTACGTAACCACCTCGTACATCGCGATCTACAATCAATGGCCTATGTAAAACGTTAGTATGAAGTGGCATTAATTAATGTCTTCAGTAAAACAATTAATAGAGCAAAAAAACATTAAGTAAAATTAACTAGACGTTTAATGTTTTCATATTGTTCCACGGTTGAGCATAAATTCACACTGTGGAATGAGTAATTTAAATGAAGAATAGACAAAACGTATTGCGCCCACCACTCAATTGAAACAAACAAAAAGGAGAGAATGAAATACAAGAAAAAAAAGGAACAAAAAAAAACTGAAAAAAGAGAAGATTTTTATTTTGACCGTTGATAAATGAGAAACGGGACTCAAGTTTTCGTGATAATATTGAACATATACTTACGGTTAACTAATAAATAAGCGTATGAGTTTTAGTATGAAGAATAATCGAGCGAGAGAAAACAAATGAATAAAACCTTGAATTTTATTGATTAAAAAAATTAATTAACGCGACGCTGTGGATTGTTGCTTTCGACACTAGCTCCTCCCCTCAATTACTCATAATCCCTTCACTTAAACCCTAGAGAATATAGAGAAGAAAATTGATTAATGCTGAGACAATTTTTGGAACTTTTTGGACTATTATTCATCTATAAAATAAACTAATAATAATTCATGAATGTCGAATGCACTGTGTGCTCGATCGCGCTATCCACAACTGTCAAGAATGTCTATTGTATCTCTAGGGGCATGATAAGAACCTGATGAAAATGATGTAAAATAGTGAGCTGAGACAAGTCCAATGATGCGACAGAATAAAATAAATTATAATCAAGTGTACACCCATTATTATTCCCGCTCATAATAATCTTGTCCCTTTCATGATTAATTTCTAACGTTGAAGAGTGAAGAAATTATGAATTGAACAAATATGTCTGCTAGGCAATGGCTAAGCTGTTGGACACACAGTAGAGGCTTCGTATAAGATACCTTAGGGACAGTAGGAGAGTGGGATTCCGGGAACCCCTATGCCCCCACTACGCGCGCCCATAGAGAGGAGAAAAATAGGGATCAGCGGGTTTCAAATAAGATACCTCGCTCGTTGCGCCCGAATTCAATGAAATTTACATTTTTGCTTCCGAATGGAAGCATTGCAATCGTTCGATTTTCACATTTTCTAATTTTCCTGGTCTGAATGCTCTGAAACGTAAAAATACGAAGTTTGGGGACCATGTCTGTGCGTGACACTGTCCAGTCGGTGGTCATTTTTTCGTAAATTTGATAATTAAAGGGGCCAAGTGAATTTGGCGATGACCTTGAAAATTGACATTCACCAACAAAGTTATAATTTTTTTAATCAATAGTATTAGACAGATGGTGAACATCGGT